CGGAAATGCAGCCACCACAGCCGGGATTTGAACCCGCGACCTGCGGGTCAACAGCCGAGTACCTTAGCCACTAGACCACCGCGGCGGGGCAGCTTGCTTGGATAGATAAACAAAACTTGAAATAAATAATGAAACGCAATATGGAAATATGTGCATCTTTTCCACCCCAATCCCCGCTGAATTGCAAAGAGATGTGGGGCTAATGTGCTTGCGTTATACACGCGTTCGTGTCCTCGCGGTTAGTGCATCAGGCAGATGACAGTCCTAGAAAAGACAATAATACTGCATGTTCGAGCACTGATTATGCTCATCTATTCTACTGCGTCTAAGCCAGCGTTTCCAAACCACCCCACAGAAACAGGCAATATACCACAAAATAACACTGGTCAACAAAACAACGCTGCTCGCGTGCTCGGGGGTTGACACGTGACCTTTAAGGCTCTTGGTGGGATGCCGGAGAGGATAGGGAAGAGATTTGGCTTGCCAAGGCTACGCGGGAGAGCAGCAAGTGTTTAGAGCTCGCCTTCTCTCATCTTTGTTTCACACCACTTTTAAAAAAAAAGCAGTTTTATCAGCTTGTAATGAACTGACTGAAAAAATATTTGTGGCATAATGCTTCGAATCGGATACACAACTTCCACGGTCTAACTAAAATTTTTTGACAGGCCTGGTGAGTGGCCCTTTAAATTTAATTCGAAGGCAAACAATGAGTTCTTTTCATACAGCAACATTTATCATTACAATTTTTGTTTTAAGCAAGAAAATATTTTTTCAAGTTTCCTATTTGGCCATACAACAGCTTCTGCCTAGAAGCTCCCCATTGCCATCAATGGGAAACATGAAAAATCATTTTATTTTATTTATTTATTTATTCATTTATTTACAGATTACCTAGATCACCATGTAGGCATTACGTAAGGTAGAACGAAAACATAATCAGTACAAATAAATGAGTAGAAAAAATATATAAATACATATACAAAAGAACACAGTCACATTTACCAGCACATAAGTAAGGATCAAGAAATACATGTTCGATACACATCGTACATTGATCATTGAAGAACAGCTTCACAGCATAGATAAAATAAATCATCATCATCATCATCATCATCAGCCTGACTATGTCCACTGCATGACAAAGGCCTCTCCCATGTTCGGCGGGTCAACTCGGTCCTGTGCTTATTGCTGCCAATTTATACCCGCAAACTTCCTAATCTCATCTGCCCACCTAACCTTCTGTCTCCACCTATCCCGCTTGCCTTCTCTAAGAATCCAGTTAGTTACTCTTAATGACCAGCGGTTATCCTGTCTACGTGCTACATGCCCGGCCCATGTCCATTTCCTCTTTTTGATTTCCTTAACCCCGGTTTGTTCCCTAATCCACCCTGCGCTCTTCTTGTCTCTTAAGGTTACACCTACCATTTTCCTTTCCATTTCTCGCTGCGTCGTCCTCAATTTAAGCTGAACCCTCTTTGTTGGTCTCCAGGTTTCTGCTCCGTAGCTAATTACCGGCAAGGTGCAGCTGTTATATATCTTCCTCTTGAGAGATAGTGGCAATCTACCTGTCATGATTTGAGAATGCTTTCCAAATGTGATCCACCCCGTTCTTATTCTTCTAGTTACTTCAGTCTCGTAGTTCGGCTCCGCGGTTATTACCTGTCCTAAGTAGACATAGTCTTTTACAACTTCAAGTGCACTATTACCTATCTCAAAGCGCTGTTCTCTTCGGAGGTTGTTGTACATTACTTTTGTTTTCTGCAGATTAATTTTAAGACCTACTTTTCTGCTCCTTGTCTAACTCCGTAATCATGAATTGCAAATCGTCCCCCGAGTTACTCAGCAATGCAATGTCATCGGCAAAGCGCAGGTTACTAAGGTACTCTCCATCAACTCTTATTGATTGATTGATATGTGGGGTTTAACGTTCCAAAACCACCATATGATAATGGGAGACGCCGTAGTGGAGGGCTCGGGAAATTTCGACCACCTGGGGTTCTTTAACATGCACCCAAATCTGAGCACACGGGCCTACAACATTTCCGCCTCCATCGGAAATGCAGCCGCCGCAGCCGGGATTCGAACCCGCGACCTGCGGGTCAGCAGCCGAGTACCTTAGCCACTAGACCACTGCGGCGGGGCCCATCAACTCTTATGCCTAACTGTTCCCATTCTAGGCCTCTGAAAACCTCCTGTAAACATGCCGTAAATAGCATTGGGGAGACTGTATCCCCCTGCCTTATACCCTTCTTGATTGGTATTCTGTTGCTTTCTTTATGAAGCACTATGGTAGCAGTTGATCCCCTATATATTTCTTCTAGGATGATTATATATTCTTCGTCGACACCCTGATTTCGCACTGTCTGCATGACGGCTAATATTTCTACTAATAAGTCAATATTTGTGAAATTTATTAAGTTAAGTCATCAGTTATGCTGTTCAACTTTTTTATTGTTTTTGGAAAAAATGAGTAATAAAAGTGTTTGATCTACATTTGAAAGTAGATATCTCTCTGCTATTATCCCAGCGAGTGGAAGTGTACGGGGGTTGAACAAGGTAGCTATGGTGATTGATTCCTGTGTTAGAGTGATACATCTGGTGCAACAGTTTAAGCCTTAGTTTATGTCTACGTACACGTAGAAGATCACATCCAGAAGTGGCCTTCATTAGTGAAACGCTGGCATAGGGGCTATAATATTAAGAAAAAAAAACCTTGCCGCTTGGTGCTCAAGTTTTTGTATTCTATTTATAAGATAGTCTTGATGGGGACCCCAGATTACACATGCATTATCAAGTATAGTCCTGACCTGCATGAAATACAGTTTTCTTAATTTTGCATGGCGCCTGTTTGAAATTCCCGATAAAAAAGTAAAACGTCCTACTAGCTTTTGCTATGGCCATGTCAATGTGTTTGTTCCATGTAAATGATTCAGTGAAATAAACACCAAGATACTTATAATCACTGTGTATGTTGATAAGTAGGTCACTTATGTTATTTTAATGATGTGATTTGGATATTTTTCTTGAGAAGCTCACGCTGCAACACTTTTTAATATTTAAACTCATTTCCCATTTTGTCCACTATGTGATCTAGGTCGGTTTGCAAAATATGAGTATCAGCTTCAGTCGTGATTTCTCTCTATATGACACAGTCATCAGCATAAAATTTTATGGATAATCTACTGTGTTCAACTATACTGTTTATATAGATTAAAAATCAATCAGGTTGCCGGAGAGCTCTCTTGCGGAATGCCCGAACTCACTGCTATTGATGAAAACTGGACATTATTTAAAACGACAGACTGAGTTCTATTGTTCAAGTAATTCCGTTTCCATGTTTGACCATTTTTATTTATGCCCAATGCAGCAAGCCTTATATCCAACAGCTTATGAGACACAGTGTCTAATGCTTTTTGAACATCTATAAATACTGCATCTACACGACCACTGTTATCAGTGGCTTTGGATACAAAGTGCTTAAATTGTATTAGTTGCGTGTTATGGGAATAACCATTTAAGGGGATAAATACGTTAATTGGTAACACTGAATGAAGTATACTTATAATGGGGATGAAAAGAACAAGAAAAAAAAAGCACTTATTTGGCTCAGCTTTATAAAAAAATACGCTTTCAAATAGAGTACTTACACTAATCCAACGAGTACTCGATTTTGCGAGTTTATAACTATGCTCATGCATAAATTGCTACCACATTTTAACAAAATAACTGTAGCACAACCCTCTTTTGACGATTAGAAAAAGCTAAAGAGAGAGATACAAGCACAATCTTCCTTCAAGGAATAGAAAATTTATCCTTCTGGCTCTTCACCTTCCGAGAGGCTGTTTTACTGGCTTTGCTATCACTTTCGTATACGTCTCCATTGCATACCGTTACCTTGACAAAGCCAATATACACCAAGTTGCTTATGAAGGTCTGCAAGCTTTTCTTTGAGGTTCGAATATTTTTTTATTTTCAGCCCAAAGTAACTTTTCCTAAACGACACGCAGCTGAAGATCTCCGTTTTTTCTACTCACGATCACAAGCCTCGGGCACACATAAAAGACATGACACAGCTACATTTAGAATGGAAAATTACCTTTTTTTGTCGCGCACTTTTATAATAAAAATGGCACATCACAATTTGCTGCATTTCACTGGGAACAGATACGACGTGCAGAGGCCCTATGCAAAACAACGAAAACTGACCACAACATGTGGGAACTGAAGAACGCGAAGAGAATACATAAAGATGAACGCTTTTTGTTGCTTTCTTTGCTGATAATGCCAGGCCCCTTTCTCCACCTACAGGCTAAGTGTGAGGGATATACTAGCTATATGTGCAGACTTTTCCACTTATCTCGCTTTTTCACTCCACGTCTAAATTTGCTCCCGGTTTGCTTTGAGTCTTTGTGCCGGGAATTTTTTATTTCCCCTCCACGTTTCTCTTGTTCACCTGAAGCCTTCATCAAGGCTATAATATTCAATTTACAGAATCCACCCCGTCATCGGTCGCTGCAAAACTTCGCCTTAACAGAAGAGGCCTGTTACATGCTCCGTCTTAAGCAGATTTCTTTTGCATATAGTCCATGGGAAACCAAACAAACACTTCCATATTGTACGTCTTAAGGGAAGTTTATTTACTTTATTCCCTTTTGTGACAATAGAAACACACAAATTTGTGCTTCTTTTTCTATGTCTGGCTGCATGCTGAGTAATTGGCACACAAGTACTGCTACCATAGACAGCATGTGTTACGCTTGTATACTACAACCACTGTGTATCAAGTGAAAAATGCTGATTACTGCCCAGAATGTCACTAAAAACAAGCAAAAAGCCACTGCAGCCAGAAGAAAGGCTTTTAAACAAGTTGTAACTGCATGTCAATGGGTCACTGCTCCTGTGAGGCTATAGAAGGCACTGCTTTATATTAGAATTCAAAAACAGGTCAGTTGACAATCACTGAAGATGCTCAGCTGAACCATATAATGAGGCCAACTTACTGATTGCTCCGTTGATGTGTGGCTCTTCCCCTGATTGGGAAGTCACTACAGGTATTTGGATACACTTCGAACAAAGGCACTCTTTGCCAGTATAGGTCACCTTTTCCCCACTGGGAAACTGTTGCCTGTAAAGAAAAACAGAATAAGTAAGTAAACGAAAAAATATTCTAAAAAGACTTTTTCTGAGGTCAGTTGGTGCTTACATTGCTTAGGTATACTTCACTGTGCCACAAAATACACTTCCTGAAAAAGGCGGCAGAAGAGAAGAAAGTAAAGCGCTGACTACCAACTGTTTAATGACAGTCTGAAACATTTGTGTGCAAATGTGAACAGCAGACACATGACGTGCAGCAACATGGTCAAGACAACATACTATCGGGAAAGCGAACTTCAGTTGAATACAATATTATAGGTTTGTCACTGACACAATCAGACACCTTCTTTTTGATGAAGAATGCTTCCAACAATTGTCTAGAAGTTTGCCGTTTTCGCTGAGAATCAGCGTTTGCGCAAAGCATGGTTCTAATCAGCAGACATTAGAACGCATGGGAAGATGCACATAATCTCCCTTACCTATGCTATTAGCATGCTTTTTCAGCCTGTCATTAATGCAACGTCCCGTTTGCCCAATATAGAACTTGCCGCAGCTTAGGTGTACACCACCCCTTGTGCACTGTGCCTAAAAGGTTTGGTGAACTGCTTCGAGCAGCCCATCAGTTCATCTGAAAAAAGGGTTTTGTGTGCTGCTTCTGAAAGCGCACAAAACCCTTTTAGGGACTGTGCACAAGGGGTGGTATATGAGACACCCCTAAGCTGTAGCACGTTCTGCATCAGGCAAGTAGAAAATTGCATTAATTACAGGCTGAGGAAACATACTAGTAGCATAGATAAGAGAGATTGTGCACATCTTTCCAAGCACTATAATGCCTGCAATGTGAGCCATGCTTTGTGCAAGCACAGATTCTCAGCAAAAGCAGCAAACGAACTGCTGGCACATCTATAATTTTGTATACGACAGAAATACGCTTCATCAATAATATGTTGTCTAAACCACGTCGCTGCATGTCATGTGTAGGCTGTTCATGTATATGCGAAAATGTCTTTTTTATAGCACATTTTTTTAGACTGTCATCAAATAGCTGCTAGTCGACACTTTAATTTTTTTCTTTCCCCTTTTTCATGAAATTTATTTTACACCACAGTCAAGTGTATCTAAGCAATGGGTAAACTAAGCCATAAGCATACTTTCATCTCTCAGCTTATGCTTATTAGGTGCATTTCAGGCCTCTCTAAATGATCTCCGATGAGCCCTGTTTAGCGCAAGCCCATTAAATTGCTCTAGTGCCCTCCCCTGGGTGTCCACCAGCCAGGGTCAAGCCTTTGTCTTTTTTTTTTTTGCCAGATACCAATTGAAACATAATATTAATATCTCGGTTTAATGTCCCAAAACCATGGCATCATTATGAAAAATGTATAGTTAAGGGCTTCAAAAATTTCGACCATCAAAATTTTGATGTGCACCTAAATATAAGCACATGGACCTCAAACATCACCGCCTCCATCGAAAATACAGCTGCTGCAGCAGAGATTCGATCCCCCGGCCTTCGTGTTAGCAAACAAGTGCTATAACTAGAGACCTGATTATAGGCAAATATTTTGTTTCTTGCATTCCTATCATGCCACTTTGATATATGAGCACGAATTAAAGGAGCTTCATCGATTTACCAAGTCCCGGATCACTCGCGGACGGCCCGCGGACGCCTCGGCTCACAGGTGGTTATGTCACATACACGTGATTTAAAAGTTCAGAGCCAGCCCGAGCGGCCCCGGGCCATCTGCGCGCTTGATGCTGATGAATCTGCTGAGGCGTCTGCTATGTCTGGCTATGCCGTCTGCTACCTCCATAGCTGTGACACAGGCCACAACGCCGACCCAATTCGAACCTAAACAGCAGTTAGGTAGTGAATTATACCTATTTTTGTTGTGATGCAACTTACTGTAAGTTAACTACTCAAGCGCGTGCGCATCGTAGACCGGCGCGGTCGTTCCACCGCTGTTTCATTCAGCGAGTATAACGCGTGTTTGCCCGACCTTCGGGAATATGCACATGCTCGACGTGGCTCAGAACACCGATGACAAAAACTGGGTGCGCTAACAATGCGAAATCCAGAAACATGTGAGAAGCGGACAAAAAAGCAAAGGCAGAGCAAGAGCGCATTGAAAATTTCCCGTGTCTAACTTAAGATGGCCGCACAGCATGCGCACCGCGCTGTAGTCTGCCAGCGGCCTGAAATAAATTGTTCGGGCGGTCCCGGGCCGCCCGCAGGCCGCCAGGCACACAAAAAACGAACATGCGTCCGAGTGATCCCGGACCAGTGGGCGGAGCTTCCAGTTGGTACCCGAGAAAAAACTAATGCGGCGCCGGCGCCCGGAGCCGTCCGGGACATGTAAATCGATGAAGCTCAAGGTTAAAAAGGGCTTTTATAGTGTTTTTATAGTACTTATAAATGCCTATTTTTACAATCGGTCCCTAGATGAATGTTATTTAATCTCAAATTTTGCTTTTGGGTACAGTTGGAGGCCGTTATTAATGTTACTAGGCAAAACTGAGCTTTCGGAATTCTATGGGGTGCAACCTATACTCCATTTCATAAGTTCCTTTCAGAACTGTCAAGGCTTCAAGACCTCTTAGTCAATAGGAAGGCTGATTAGCGTCTACACATGTATTGATCCGTGTCGCGTCGTCTGCTCAGCATTTTCCCGGTGTCTGCTCAGCATTTTCCCGGCGTCTGCTAGCATGTGTAAAGAACAGGAGGTGCTTCTGTGCAGCCCCAGGACAATAAAGAACGAATTCAAAACCGTGGAGCGTCATCAGGGGAAAGTAGTGCGTAGATTAAAAAAAATAATGCCCATGTGGTTCTTGGTTCCCAATGTGGTTCATTTAAAAAACAGCACTTACCAGGTCACATGAAAAATTTTACTCAGAAACTGGAAGTTGTTGTGTCACCAATGAAAAGCTTTGCACCACTCGAATTTTTTAATAGGTTTATTTACAAGCCCCAAAAGCATGACGCGAGGAAGTGAGCTTGAAACCTTACTCGAAGCCAGAAGATCACACGACGCAGACGCATCAACCCATCATGCACACGCAAGGTTACATTCGCATAGCACGCACATTCCAGGTCGTGCATGCTAGCGGTGTTGTCTTTCTGACGTTTTCTGTATTGTACTGCCTGTTTCTGTGGGATGGATCCGTCTATGCGAGAGCGTTTGGAGAGGCTGGCATGAATCATGTATCCTTACCAGAATAAAAAGCGTTGTAATGCTATAAAAGACAGCGCACCAAAAGCACGCCAAGTACTGTGAATGCTGGCACTGTTATGATAGGAGGACGGCGAGAACACTAACGCAATAAAATGAAGGCATCTTAGTCTCGCATTTCGCTTCATATGGAGTTAATAGATTCCGTTTGTATGTTTTAATATTTCTGTCAACTTTAATACTTTTCCTCAGGCAACAAATTGCAGAAATTACACTTACACTCAGCAACAAAATGTGTAATTATATACACACACACCTAACAGAAAAGATAATTGATTAGCCAGTGATAGTGATACACCAGAAACAACCCCAAACATTTATTCATGCGAGTAGTGAGCATTAATATTAAAAATTTACACTCCAAAAGACTTTAATATGGCAGACTATTGCACTCAAACTGAAAAGTAATCAATGAAAAAATAATTCCTAATTTGCATATGTGCGAGTTTTTTTTTTCTTTTTTTTTGTCTTGACCCCATAAGCATTGTTTGCAGCTATCCCAAGAGCTCCACCTGTCATCTGCTTAAAATTGCTGCTGTTTTGTTAATATGCATCTCCTGTAAGTTTGCTTCAGTATCGCAGCACATTTTAATATACCTGCCGAGTTCAAGCGTTCTGAATCCAGGATATTCCGGCAATAGAGAAGGGGTGGGGGTAGCCCCGGTTTATTCCGCCCTCACTTTTTGCACCAAAAGAAAACACAAAAACATCTAAAATAACAGGGAAAAAACATCACTGTTGCGATCTTATAATGGCTTGGAGTGGCCAAACACTCAAAGGTAAGGTTTCCCAACTACAGTAGAAGGGGCCAGTCTCAAAGATGGGAGAAAATACTCATATCTCTCGAAAATTCACATCATAAAAACAACTAGCAAAATCTATTTCTATTGAAAAAGAACTCAAGTGTGTCTTCCTGAAACACACGTGAACGAATGGGACAGCCCAGCCGGCTGTCGGGAAAGCACGGGCCGAAGTGAGGCCTGAATGCCAAAGTATAGCCAAAGTACACAGATCGATACGAACGACGTTAGTAGATTATTTGGAGAACATTAAAATGCTTCTAGCATTTTTGTTACACCTTTATTGCCTTTAATCCACCGCTGTGTTAGGCGAGTGCCCTCGGCTAGTTATTGTGACACCGCGACCGATGTTTCCCGCGCGGCTGTTGCGAAAAACGGTAGTTCCGTTTTAGATGCGAAGCAGCTCTGACTCGCGTGTGTAACGCCCTCTGTATGTGCATCCGTACAAACGTGCCGCAACACATTCCCCTCACCACAGGTGTTGCAGCAGTGCCAAGAAGGTCATGCCGCAGTTGCGCGTTGACACCACGCTCTCCTCGCAGGTGCGCGCTGAGGTCACTCTTTCCCTCACCCACAGAACGCTCGCCGCAACCGCCGGCTGCTCCGCCCACTCGTAACACACTTCTCTCTCACTTCACTCTCTCCCCGCCCGCAACGCTCGATCGTACATCGAGTGAAAACACTCTCCCGGCTTGTTTATCTGCGATAAAATTTACACGAAACCCAACCCGCCTCCCGTGTCTGAGTTTCAAAGAAACGCTTACTCGAGAAAACGCTACACCGAGTTTCGCTTCAAACCGTTATTCCAGCACCAGCGTTGATGCCCGTTTCAATTGAGTCAACGCCGTGGGCACTGCTCTTGCTTCGCATCCCATTAGGGTTTCCTTCGGGTAGATGGTGCATAAATTTTTTAATCCGCGTATGCTGGCTGCACACATGCCTTCAAAACCAAGTTGTCCTTTTTTTTTTGCTATCTATGATTACATTTGTGGATTTTTTGTCCA